AAACTAAATGCCAAGGAAACTACATACTCCTTAAAGGAAAAATCCACCAAGATGGCATTTCAATTCTTAACATCTATTCCCTAAACACAAGGGCACACTAATTTGTGAAGAAAACACTGCTACAACTTAAATCACATATTGACCCTCACACACTGATAATGGAAGACTTCCCTACCCAACTCTCACCAATGGACAGATCATCCAGACAAAAACTAAACAAAAACTAAACACAGAAATACTTGACCCAACAGTCTGTATAAAACAAGTGGACCTTTACAGATTTCTACAGAATATTTCTCCAAAATACAAAAGATTGTACCTTCTTCTCTGTACCTCAGGAAACCTTCTCCAAAACTGACCACATTTTAAGACACAAAACAAGTCTCAACAGACAAAAAAGAAAGAAAGAAAGAAAGAAAGAAAGAAAGAAAGAAAGAAAGAACTCCCTACTTTCTATCAAACAATTGTGGATTAAAGACGGATATTCACAACAACAGAAACAACAGATAGCTTACTAACGGAAACTGAACAACTCTCTACTAAGTGAAAACTAGGGCAAGACAGAAATAAAGAAATTAAAATGTTTTTCTAGCAGTGAAAACAAACACACAGCATACACACACTTATGGGACGCAATGAAAATGATTCTAAGAGCAACATTTATAGCACTAAGTGCCTACATTTTTAAAGAGAGAGAGAGGGGGGGTTTCATAATATCACATTGGAAAGCTCTAGAACAAAATGAAGTAAGCACAACCAAGACAAGTAGAGGACAAGAAATAAACTGAGAGCTGAAATCAATAAAAATAGAAACAAAGATAACAATACAAAGAATCAGTGAAACAAGTTGTTGATATTTTGAGAAAAATCAAGTTACTCAAGCCCTTATCCAAACTAACTAAAAGATGCAAAGTGAATATACAAACAAACAAAATCAGAAAAGAAAAGAGGACAGGTCTCCCCGCCCCTCCCCGGGGATGGGGCTGGCCGCCTAGTGCGTGCGCACGCGCGCTGTCACCCAGAGGCGTCTCGGTGTGGAACGCGGGCGGCTCGGAGGCACACCTGTGAGGTGTCCCCCTCAGGAGAGAGGGCCAGTGGGCGCGCGGAGTCTAGACCCGCTCCTCAGCCACACTTGGGAGCGAGTTGTCCCGTAGTAGCACTGCACAGTCCAGGCCGGTGCCGACTAGCATCCCGCCCAGGTGATGAGGACCTCCCTGAGTCCCCAGCACGCCAGGCTGCTGCTGCTGCCGCCGCGGCCGCCAGACGCCTCCGTTGTCTGACCGCCGCCAGGGCTCGGCTGGGCAAAAGCAAGCTACTTCCTCTGGAAGATAAGAGAGCTACCTCCTCAGGACCAAGAAAAGAAAACCAGCCTGCTACTGTATAGAGTCTCCAGGAACAAGACTGACTGTCCCTGAAGCCAAGGAGCCTTCATGCTGGCAAAGTGATGTTCTGACTCTCCTGAGGGTACTCTGGCGGCTCATCACCAACTGGCACCTTGTGCCCTGGGCAGACAGATCATACTGCACAGGCTTTTATGAGTGAGAAGTAGAAGAGTACTGTACATCAGAGAAAGACTCCAGGGGCTCAGAACAAAGGCTCACTCTTTTCTGCCCTGGAATGTTGACCACTCAGGATCTAAAGGAACGAAAGCTCTATGCTGATGAGCTATGGGATTCATATGAGAGTCAGTGTGACTGTAATCAGTAAGAGCTCTGAGTGAGGAGCACTATGCAGGAAGAAGCCTCCCACAGAAAGACAGGCAGAGAGAAGCTGAGGCTGACAGTTAGCTTGCCCAATAGAGCATGCCTGAGATAGAGTGCTGTAACCGCCCGAGCTGCCTCACATTCCTTCGGGGACCACTTTGTAACGGCCTGTTCTGCTGCTCCGGTCAGCAGGTCAGGGTCTAGCAAGAGAGAGAGTGGGGACAGAGACTCGAAGAATGGAGACAAGATAGAGAGTCTGATCAAGTCTCTTTTATTGAAAGGAAATCCTGGGTATTTATATCCTTTACCACGTGCCTTGCCCTCATGGACAAGCACAGCTGAAGGCGCTACGTCATGTGCCTTGCAGCGTGGATATCATATCACTGTGCACCTAGCTAACAGTGAGGAGACCATGTGCGCCTAGCTGCTGGCGGCACTAAACAACAAAACAAGATATGTGAGAAGAACAAGATGTTTATCAGAGTGAGCTCAGCTGTTTCGGGCTGTTGAAAACAAGTCTCTTGTCAGGGTATACGGCTCGAGATGGCTGCAAAGATGATAGCCGCTTTCTGCTGGGAGTCGGCTCCCAACAGACTGCCAAGATGGCAAAATAAGAGGCTTTATGAAGTAGCAGTCCTTGAGCTCATAGTTGTAAGGATACTTTCTTCTTTAAGTCATGATACCAAAAAGGAAAAACGATCTACAAGTGCCCCATGTGCAGGGAATTTTTCTCTGAAAGAGCAGATCTTTTTATGCATCAGAAAATCCACACAGCAGAGAAACCCCATAAATGTGACAAATGTGATAAGGGTTTCTTTCACATAGCAGAGTTTCATATTCATTGGTGAGACCACACAGGAGAGAAGGTGTATAAATGTGATGATTACGGCAAGGATTTTAGCACAACAACAAAACTTAATAGACATAAGAAAATCCACACCATGGAAAAGCCCTATAAATGTTATGAGTGTGGCAAAGCCTTCAACTGGAGCTCCCATCTTCAGATTCACAAGAGAGTCCACACTGGTGAGAAGCTGTACATCTGCAGTGAGTGTGGGAGGGGCTTTCAGTAAAAGGTCTAACCTTTGTATGCACCAGAGAGTTCACACTGGGGAGAAGCCCTTCAAATGTGAAGAGTGTGGGAAGGCTTTCAGGCATACCTCCAGCCTCTGCATGCATCAAAGAGTTCACACTGGAGAGAAGCCCTATCAATGTTATGAGTGTGGGAAGGCCTTTAGTCAGAGCTCCAGTCTTTGCATCCACCAGAGAGTACACATGGGGGAGAAGCCCTATAGGTGTTGTGGCTGTGGGAAGGCCTCCAGTCAGAGTTCAAGCCCCTGCATCCACCAGAGAGTGCACACAGGGGAGAAACCTTTTAAGTGTGAGGAGTGTGGCAAGGCCTTCAGCCAGAGTACAAGCCTTTGCATCCACCAGAGAGTACACACCAAGGAAAGAAACCACCTCAAAATACCAGTTGTATAAAAATGTTTTCCTAAGAATTAAAAACCTTAAACCTGTAAGTGTCACTAGGAAGGAAACCTCGAATCCACCTACACTGAACCCAGGAACATCTACAGCAGTCCCCAGAAAAGCATTCTTTCTGAGGAGGTTTAGGTGAAGTTGTGTTTCTGAATTCGGAATTCTTCTCTGTGTGTGCCCAAGATGGAGCATTGTGTCCCTGTCACAGGTATGGTGTTTTCTGAGACTCTGGCAACGTGCCATAGAGTTGAAATAATACTCAAAACTCAGGAGCCTTGCTCAACCGCTCAGTCACCTGTCTGTGCTGTGCTTCCAGGCAGTGCCAGACACTCCCTTATGGAGCTTATGCCCCTTCCTCTATTCAAGCCTACCTACCGGTCAGTGCATTTTAAAATGGACAGCTCCCGGGAAGGCCGAGTCCTGGTATTTCTGAGGTTGCCATTTGACTCAACCCTGACATAGCTTTCCATATATCCTGTTATTTCTGAATCCATCTTACCTCATGTCCTCAGCGTACCTATAAACGCTTACCCCTTCCTAGATGGCATTAAACTTCATTTTAGATGTTAGGAAAGTCATAATATGCACTCACTCAGCTGATCAAGAATCATTGGCAGGTGTACATGCCCTGGAACTTTTCTTTAGTTTTGTGAACTCTGCTAATCACTGTGTCTCTAGGTTAGACTTATTTTCTAGTGGCTCCGTCACATGCTCCAACTTGATTTTTTTTTCCTTTTAAGTAGCTGAATGTATCTATCAGGGAAGAAGAAGCAAGCAAACTGAGCTTGTCTACTTCAAGAGTGACCCTCTCAGGCTCCTTTTTTAAGTGGTGGGATTCCCTACTAGCTAGGAAAGCCTTGGGAGGGCTGACTGGGGAGTCACTGAGGATGAATCTGTCATCTCAGGCAATAATGTGTAGGTGTCATCATGAATCGCATACAGTTCTTTTCAGGCATGAGTGTGTATTACTGATCCAACATCCTCATTCATTCTCTGAGTATTTATTGAATGCCTCCTGGGTGTCGGACATGTACTGGGTGCTGGGAATTCTACTGGCTCATGAAATTCACCTCTGGAGGAGACAGGATAAGTGAGTTAACACATAAATAATGTAGTTTGCGGTAGTGATTAAGTGCTATGAGAAACTAGGGTGGCATGTAGAGGGGAATGGGGAGCCAGATAGCAAGGGCCAGGAACTCTGCACTGAAGGTGCTGGGGTCAGGTGAAGGGAGCCGTGACAGTACACAGCACAGGTGCAGCTGGCCCTGGGGACAAGATGCCGGTGCTAGAGGTGGTGTGCGGGGAGGGGAGGTGGTGAGCCATGAGCTTAGTGGCTAGCATTTATCGGCCTGTTGTGTTTGTTTTGTTTCTACTGAATGATAGTAAAACTCATGGAAGAACTCAAGGGATGTTGAAAAGACCAAAAGTCCCCTGTGAAACCAACACAATGCTCCCAGTTCCGTTTCCTTCTCATTCCTGTTCTCTGTCTCCCACACGCAGTCCTTTGCTCAGGAAGTCTTTGGGGAAACTAATGACCTGTTAATTTGAAGTGGGTGACTGGCTTGGTGGCTTCTGCCAGCCATTCTAAGGCTGGATAAAGAACTTCACAGATGATTAGAAATTAGAGACTTGCTTAATTTGGTTTTGGTTTTGTTTTTTTAATTTTTGTTTTGTTTTGGTGGGGTTGTTTGTTTGTTTGTTTGTTTGTTTTGTATTTGTCTGGAAGAAGTTTTTGTAAAACTGAAGCCTGGGTGCATAGAGAGGGCTTTGTAGGAACACACAGTCAGTGGGTGGGGTTTAAGAATGAATCTGTCACCATGTGTTATAATGTAGACACCTTCAGGCAAGCCTTTGGCCCACTGGTCACTGCCTTCCCCCTCTTCACAGAGGGATATTGGCTAACAAAGCCCCTTCCTGGCCTCACAGCCAACACAGCAATTTCCTGTAGTATCTTACACTTCCATGTCACCACAGCGTGGAACATTAGAGAAAGGCCTGGATAGACTTTTAGTTGATAGAGTGCCAGTTGAAATATCATCAATAGAATTTTAGTTTAGGGAAAATGGTTTGAGTTATAGCTTTATTACTATTAGGAATGTAAGTTTGGGCAAATCGCTTAATCTTCAGGTCTAGTTTTCTCACAGAATGAGCACACTGGACTAAATGATTTCCCAATTTCCAGCTAGTCCTAGGGTTCTATATTTCTACAGAGTTGAATTATTTTGTCATGCTGTTGCTGGGGAGTACAACTAACGCTTTTGAAGCTACTAATTTTATGTCAAGCTTTAAAGTCCATAATTGTTACCTTCAGAAATATTATCTGACCTACAGTATGTTTAAATTAATTTAATAAAATCACTTTATAACAGGGAAAAAAGAAGAAAAGAGGACAGAAAGACAGACACTAAGGAAATCATAAGGACATATTTTAAAAACCTCTACTCCACAAAATTGGAAAATCTAAAATAAATGGATCATTTTCTAAACAACTATCACTTATCAAAGTTAAATTAAAATCAGATGGGCAATTTAAACAGACCTGTAACCCTTAGGGAAATAGAAGCAGTCATTAAAAGTTTCTCAACCAATAATAATAATAATTCCCTGACCAGATGGTTTTAGTGCAAAGTTCTACCATATTTTCAGAGTTAATGCCAATTCTCCTCAAATTATTCCATAAAATAGGAACAGAAGGAACATTGTCCACTTCATTTTATGAAGCCACAGTTAGTCTGATATCCAAAACACATTAAAAACTCACAAAGAAAGAAAATCACAAATTTCTGTAATTAACATAGATGCAGAAATACTCAATAAAATACTTGTAAACTGAATCCAAAAATACATCAGAAAGAGAAGAGACCATAGTAAAGTAGATTTATCCCAGGAATGGTTCAATATATGAAAAGCAGTAAGTTTAACCCACCATATAAATAAAGTGAAAGAAAAAAAACGACATAATCATCTTCTTAGATACAGAAAAGGTCTTTGACATAATCTAACACCCCTTCATGATAAAAATCATGGAGAGATTAAGGATACCAGAGGCATATCTAAACATAATAAAGGCCATTTACCACTAGCCTAAAGCCAACATCAAATTAAATGGAAAGAAATTCAAAGCAATTCCACTAAAATCAGAAATGAGATAAAGTTGTCCACTCCCTACATATATGGTCAATATAGTACTTGAAATTTTAGCTAGAGCAATAAGACAACTGAAGAAGATTAAGGGGATACAAATTGGAAAAGAAGAAGTCAAAATATCGCTATTCACAGATGATATGATTATATACAAAAGTGACTCTAAAATATCACCAGGGAATTCCTACAGCTGATAAAAACCTTCAATGAAGTGTCAGGTTACAAGATTAACCCACAAAATTAGTAGTCCTCCCATTTAAAAATGACAAATGACTGAGAAAAAACTCAGGAAAACATCTTTCACAATACCCTCAATATCTTGGGTTACCTCTAACCAAGCAAGTGAAAGACTTTTATGATAACAACTTTAAATCTTTAAAGAAGGAAATTGAAGAAGCTATAGAGAAGATAGAACAATCTCCTATGCTCATGGATTAGTAGGATCAAAATAATAAAAAATAATCATTTTACCAAAAGCAAACTACAGATCCAATGCATCAATATTCCCCCATCAAGATTCAAATACAATACTTTACAGACCTGGAAAAAAACAATCCTCAAGTTCATATGAAAAAAGGATATCTAAAAACAGTACTGACAACAAAAGAACAATAGAAATGCTAGAGGTCCCACCAAATTACAAACCTATAGTAATAAAAACCACATGGTATTGTCATAAAAACAAACAGTTGTCAATGGAATTGAACTGAAGACCAAGATATAAATCCACACATATATGGACACCTGAATTTTTATAAAAAAAGCCAAAAAACACACTGAGAAAAAGACAAAATCTTCAATAAATGCTGCTGGTTTAACTGGATGTCAGCATGTAGAAGAATGCAAATAGATCCATTTTCATCACCCTGCACAAAACTCAAGTCCAAGTGGATCAAAAACTTCAACATAAAACCAGACACACTTAACCTAATAAAGAGAAAGCAGGAAATAGCCTTGAACATATTAGCACCTAAGGCAACTTCCTGAACCTGATAACACAAGCACTAAGATCAACAATCAATAAATGGGACCTTATGAAACCAAAAAGCGTCTGTAAGGCAAAGGACACCATCAATCAGACAAAGCAGGATCTCACAGAATAGGAAAATATTTTTTTACCAACTCTACATCTGATGGCAGACTACTATCCAAGATATATTTTTAAAATTTCAAGAAAGTAGATATCAAAAAGCAAATAATCTAATTTTAAAATGAGATACAGATCTAAACAGAAAATTCTCAATAGAGTAATCTCAAATGGCTAAGAAACACTTAAAGAAATACCCAACATCTTTAGCAATCAAGGACATGCAAATCAAAACTATTTTCAGATTCCATCTTATACCTATAAGAATGGCTAAGTGATAGCTAATACTGAAGAGGAATAGAGCACAGAGGAACACTCTTCCACTGTTAGTGGGAGTGAAAACCTGTACAGCCACTATGAAAATCATTATGGCAGAAAAATGACACTCAATCTACTTCAAAATTCAATTAAATCATTCTTGATCACATACCCAAAGGATACGTCATTTTACCACTTGCTCAACCATGTTCATGTGGCTTTATTCTTAGTAGCCAAAAACTGGAAACAACCTAGATGTTCCTCAACAGAAGAATGGATTTAAAAACATGATACATTTACAGTTGAGTATTACTCATCTGTTAGAAGAAAAATTATATCATGAAATTTGCAGGCAAATGTTGGAACTAGAAAAAAATCATTCTGAGTGAGGTAATCCAGATCCAGAAAGACAAATATGGTATTCATTCACTTATAAATGAATATTAGCCATTAAAAAAATGATAATCAAGCTACAGACTCAGAGAGGTTAAATAAAGAAGAGAGGTATAGTGGG